ATTACTACAGTATATCCGAATTCATTTTGATGGACGGTTTTCAGAATTAAGACTCGAAACTCGTCTAATATATAAATTCACCTGACGAAATCATCGTTTATAGGATTAAACCTGTCCAGAAAACTCGCAAAACACTCATTCCCAGTCTCCCTTTCACGTTACCAACTGCAACATGACTTGGCGTGATTCCCACCGTGGCCGGGCATATTTTTCAAGCTCGCCCGGTGTGGATTTACACTCGAGTAACATCACAAACATCATATTCGCCTGAGTACACAACACCAACACAGAAAAAATCATATTACTAGATTACATTGCCATTGGTATCGAAGGAACTAGATTTTGTTCCGAAATATCACTTACTCGAACCGTCCTGACCGCGTAGCTCAGTTGGCAGAGCATTGGGCTAGTATTCCAAAGGTCGTAGGTTCGATTCCCACCGTGGCCGGGCATATTTTTCAAGCTCGCCCGGTGTGGATTTACACTCAGAGTAACATCACAAACAAGAATATGTTAGTCCACCGAAATACTTGCCACAGTAATGACTCTCATGGAGCTTGATTATACACCGTTTGGCGTAGGTCAAATTTGAATATCTGATATATTTATTTACAACAGCAACAGTCTGGTACCAAAGTACTATTGTAATATTTCTAATTTCTAGTCCTTCTCTCTGGCTCGAAAAAAGATTGTTCACTACACAAGTTACGACAGTAGAAAAAGAGCGAATGCCGCGTTTTTAATTGGTGCTTATCAGGTATGCCTTCTTTTACGATAACTTTTACAACTTCATGTCTTGCCTGTATATGTACTTTTGTGCAACAGGGTTCGTAGCGGTCTTTGAAATCCTTGAAAGTCTTTAAATTTGAATGCAGGTCTTTAAGGTCTTTGAAAAGTCTTTGATGAATTGTGTGAAAAAGCGAAGAAAGTCTTTAAAAGTCTTTAAATTCTTTAGTGAGTATTTGATTATACGATTTCCTAGCTAATAAAATAGATTGATTGAAGCAAGATTTTCGCAAATATCGACGAAAAGGCGCATTTTAGGATGTGATTTGACGGGACTAATTATTGGGTAAAAATGTTGCTTTCACTTGCAATTTTTCGACAGCTGATTGCTCTCAAAGGTCTTTGAAAAGTCTTTGAAAATAGGCAGCAAAAATCTTTGAAAGTCTTTGAATTTTTTTGGTCTTGGAGACTACGAACCCTGTAAATAATTTTCAGTTAGCCGGAGCAGGTTTGGGACTGCATAGCTTGCGAGTTTCGATTTGGGAGCCACCAGATTTGCAGTTGGCTCCAGTCTCCTGCAGGTAACGTTAACGTGGTTACCTCGGACCCCAACATCATGCAACCATGCTTCATGTGGCACATGGTGAGATGTTAATAATTAGAAAAGCAATAGAAGATATCTTTCCTCAGGGGTAGTTGTTCTACTGTGAGAACCTATATTTCCATTATGTATATTATTTTATTCCATGCATACTATTAGGGCTTAAAAGTACACATCTGGTAAAAGCTGTCGAGTTGTATTAATTAATATTCCAAAACGCATGCACGTTGTATCCATATGGCATATATTAAGATGTTAGTTCTGCTTCCTGCAGAAGCATCACCTACAATTCTCTGCGTGTACGCACGTATGAAAAACGCTTAATTGGAGAGCTGCCTTTTGCAAGTTTAATGTACTAAATAGTTTCAATATTCTTAATTGACAGGTCATTTATCTCAACAAGAAACCGGATGAAGCTTATCAACCTTTGATTAGTGGTTGTTCCCCACCATATTTACCTTTTAGGTGAGTAATACACTGAGAAAAAATAGTGAAATCCATGCTATGGAATTTTTCAATTGCATCACTGTAAAACCATAGTGTATATCCATATTATTTCCATACTATATCCATAGGGCCACATAAAATAAATTCCTTGATTCTCATCACTACACTTTGAAAATGTCAAAGAGGCGGGAGGTTTATATTTTATATTTACAAACCGAAATAAACATATTCAATTACACATTTCTGCAATTTATCCAATGAAATTTCTTTCAAGATTCTGTTTGTTTGAAATCGGCAGTTTAAAATGGCACTGAAAACCCAATATAAAATATAAAAAACTTAACTGTCTTGAATTATTTTGTTGGGCTGTACATTTATATTGTATAACGAAATATAAAAAAATTCACGAGGCTCTTAAAATACAGTCAGGCGGTGATGAGAATCAAGGAATTTATTTTCTGTGGCCTAGTATGGAAATTGCAATTAGTGTGAAAGTTGGATTTCCACGTACTATTACCAACGACGAAGATCCATACTATTTCCATAGTAAGGATTTTGGGAAAAAATTTCCAGTGATAGCTAATAGAAGTAGTAGCTACAGTGTAAAGTAACGTTGATGACGATGTTCTGAATAAATTGAAGTCGACTTCTAATGTGCTTATTCGATCTGATGCACACCCTATATATGAATAGAAGTAATCTATTCTTCTAACTTGCGTGCAGTACGACCATCAATTTTGTGAAAACATTTTACCATGAAATGCATTTTACCATCAAATGCATTTTACCATCAAACGTATTAATCTCATTGTATATTCCCAATATAGAGATGCATCTTTTGGTGCTTGTACTTTTAATCTCACAATTCTGGACTGCCTAAATGGTATTTATAAGGTACAGTATTTCCTAAAGTATACATGCATTATATACTTGAGTGTATAATATGTATATTGTGTTCATTTAAAAAATTTAGGATTTTAGCTTGTGTAAAAACATTTCTTAAAAATCGTGGATGTTGTCCTTGACTCAATTTCTGAAATATATTTTTATTTCAAACTGTTCAGGCTTTGCAGAATAAGTTTTTTGACTTCGACACATTTGACGTTGACGAATATGAACATTATGAGGTTGGTTTAACAAATTTACATTTCTGTTTCTATGCAGAATTTCTTATTTTTTCGACATGGTTGTTAGTAAATAATGAAATAAACCTATCATGATATTTTTTAACTTTAGAGAGTAGAAAATGGCGATTTCAACTGGATAGTACCAGGTAACCATGCATGAAGACTAAAGGCTCATTTCCACTCAAGAAAATTTTCCGCGGAAAGAAAAATGTGATTGGCCAACAAATTCTCCGTCGGAAAAAATTTTGAAGTTGAAAATTTTCAACTTTTAACAATGATATTTTCGGAAAATTTTCTGTCAGTGGAAAATTTTCTTAAGTGGAAATGGGTCTTTAAATCTATGAAGGACTAATATAGTTTAAATTCTTTATGATCCAGAGGTGGAAAATGTTGTTTTCTTTCTGGGAACCTGGATTTAGGGCTCAAAATTTTCCAAAAAAGATTACAATAACATTCATACCCGCCCAGACCTCACAGACTGCATGTGTTTCCACTGCATGCATGGGAGACTTTAATTGTTAACTTGTAATTTTTTCCTCATTTCAACAGGGAAATTTCTTGCGTTCAGTGGACCCCATAACAAGACTAGAATTCTCAATGGTACGTCATTATTATACGATGGATCATTACAGGTTGTCATGTTGAAGGAGAAAATTGATTAATGCCGTACTACAGTATAGCCCCCTTTCTGTATATCCCAACATATTAGGCAGTAGTGCGATGCAAACTCCGAATTTTCAACGCCGGCTCCAGCTACGTTGGTTCACAAATCAGGGGACAACGTTTTTAACCGGATTATGGCCGTTTTTAACCGGATTATTTGGGTCGATTTGTCCTCCAGATAAGATGACGTGATGCAGCGAATTAGCCTTTCTCACGCCGCCATTTTTGGGGTACTGAAATTTTTCGTAAACGATTATAACAATATGAAAAGCAATATTTCAGAACAAACTAACTATTTACACTTTACAGAGTAAATTTACCATCATACACCCGCAAAATTATAAAATGTCGCCGTTACGTGGTGTTACGCTCGCAGGATTGGCAAAAAAGTACCCCAAAAATGGCGGCGTGAGAAAGGCTAATTAAATATGACGCTTGCGATTTACAACTTTTCCTATAAAGGTAGATCACAGACATTATGACTTATTGCAATTTGGCCGTTTGCAGTCCTGTAGCTGAAAATGGCGAAATGATGGTTGTACACAACAGATATGACTTCAGATTATATGTTCTTTCAGCAAATTCAATGTTGCCATGCAGTATTTGTAACCAACGATAATTCTTCGAAATTGTTACTCTTCTCATTCTGACTCCAGCCGGAGCTGGGTAAATGCACTGAAACTCCGTCCTCGCGGCTATAACCAAAAACATCCGAGCACCGGCAGAACTTCAACATCTGGTTCATTCTTGAATTCAGAAACCGTAATTTATACAGTTTCACGTTCGTGATTTCAAGCAAGAACGGCTGGCATCATTCTTATTGACTACTTCATTTTGTACGGATAACTGGATAAGATCCAATGTTGACCAAATGCGTAATTAAAATGTGTAAGCTAATTAAAATATAGTTTTCGACTATAAAATTTCGGCATTCATAACATGGTTGACTGTTGCAACAAAGCTAAAAATGCATTTAAATAATATACTGTACATACATATTTCGAAATCAGCAAGAGTGACAATGGACAGCTTGCATTTTTTAGACTAAATTTTAATCTAAGTAAAGAGAAAGGAATCAAACACCACAGCTAAAAAGAACATAATGAAATTAGTAAAATTGCAAAATTTGGTTGCAAAATGTTGTAAAGATTGGAAAATATAGTCTAGCAAATTTTTGTATATGTTTGTATTTAATACGTGCGGAAATTGTTACCATTTTTCGGCTCAAAAATGATAACAATTTCCGCACGTAATACAAACATATACAAAATATGCAAACTTTGCAATATTTTCGCAAGGCTATATTTTCCAAGCTTTATAACATTTCGTAACCAAATTTTGCAATTTTATTAATTTTAATAAGTTCTTTACGGGAATTTCCTTTTTTTGCCTAGATCAAAAATTAGTCTAACATGCAAGTTGTCTATTGTCGCCAAAAATGTCCAATTTTTTATAAATTGTTTTGAATTCAACACCGTATTGGTCCGCGTCTCTATTGCTTTTTTCGCAGATCCTGGTTCGATCTAAAATTGTATACAATCCTTCCGCTCAAAATTTCCATCTGCAAAAGATCCTTCAACTTCTAAGTCATAACTTTGTACACATTTAGGTTATCCGCTGCATGCTCCTGAGTCTTACATTCCATATTTCCGTAAACATGGCATTACTACGGTAATTCGCCTGAATAAGAAGATGTACGAGGCAAAGAGATTTACAGATGCTGGCTTTGATCACTATGATTTATTTTTTAATGACGGCAGCATTCCTGTTGATTCAATTGTCAGGTAAACATCGTGGGTAGATTTATTGAGGGAGGGGCATTTCCTGCAGGTTCAAGCAGCCTCAGTGCTTACTAAGAGTTTTACCTGCTGTATCGACCCGTACCAAAATATGCATATTTTATATAAAACCGTTACTGTTAATACTATAGTAATGAACTTGGTATGAATTGCGTGCAAAAATACGGAGTACGCTTTAATGCAGGGAGATTATAGCCTGTGTACAGCCGTTACTCTCGACGAAGCGCGCGAGAGAACGTCTGTGAGTTGGATGCATAATCCTTGTTCAGGTCACGTGGATAGTTCCCAGATTTGGGGACCGGCCTCTGATTGGACAGTGCTTTATTTGAATAATTTATGACAAATGAAGCTATTTCATTGGTTAATTAATAATTAGCATGCGTTTAAAATAACAACACAAAAATATTTAAATTCTAGATCAAGAATCAAGATTTCCTACGGGGCATACAAAGGTTTGAAAGACTTGAAATACAATCTGAAAAACGATACACCAGAAATATATTGCATATATCTCTCGATGAAAAGTTTTGTTTTGAGTGCGAACAATGCTGAACGATGATCATTGCCGGCAAGACCGGTGTACAAGCTCATTATATGGCGTATATTTGTTTACAAAGACAAAGTATTAAATATAAACACAACTGGTTATTCAAAAGGTGCATTTTAAAGTAAACACATGGTAGCCTCGGTTTCTTTTGTTTCAACAGGGACGTTTAATCACGTATTTCCCTCATTACCCATGCATACGCTTTTGTCTTCTAAATTTCCCCGGGAAACGGGGATATTTAGTTGAAAACAAAGGATTTCTTTGTCTTCTAATTTTCCCCTGCATGCTTGATGAGGGATATTTAGAAGACAAAAGCGTACCTCATTACCTCTGATTGGAGAGCTGTACCTCATCGGGAGGGGGACCTTTACTAAACCTCCCTCGGTTTGCGGGGACATTTAATCACTAATTTCCCTCAAAGCATGCGTTTACTTATAATAATTAAAAGTTAACTGGTCAAGTAAGACGAAGTTAAACACATTACATGTAAAGAAAATGCTTTATCGCGAGGGGTCGGGACATATAAACAGATTGTTAATTTATTAAATTGTCAATTATAAATTGTCCGATAGTTTGTTGTATTTTATATATTTGTCAGCATTGTTCGCTGAGTGTCCGAACACTAGAATTTTATCTTGATTTTCTTAAACTTCGATACAGCACAAAATTAAACTCAACAGATTATATTTCTAGTCTTTCAAACCTTTCTATGCCCCGAAGGAAATCTTGATTCTTGATCTGGAATTTAAAAATTTTTGTGTTGTTATTTTAAACGCATGCTAATTATTAATTAACCAATGAAATAGCTTCATTTGTCATAAATTATTCAAATAAAGCACTGTCCAATTAGAGGCCGGTCCCCAAATCTGGGAACTATCCACGTGAGCTGAACAAGGATTATGCATCCAATTCACAGACGTTCTCTCGCGCGCTTCGTCGAGAGTAACGGCTGTACACAGGCTAGGAGATTACGGCATTACATTTATTCCAGACAATATAAGGATGATGTAGAAATGCAAATTTTAGTGACGAAAAAATACTCACGTAAAATGCATTTATTAAAATTTCACTTATTGTTGATAGGCAATAGTTCACAATTACAGGGAAAGCATGCATTAAACACCAATACCATCTCTATTTTACCTTTAGACGATTTTTGACAGTCACAGAATCAGCCAGTGGTGGTATCGCAGTACATTGCAAAGGTAAACTGTTTATCTGTTATCACATATCGTCTGAAAATACCATCTACTAAAAACACATCTACATTATATGTTACCACGCCATGTTTTAGTCAGGTTTTTAGAGAGCGTGTTACACCAAAGCGAGACTCGGGGTTGAAATCAATTTATCCTTTTGAACATTGCTACTACTGTTGTTCCTTCACATTTTCGTAAAGAGAATCTTTAGCATAGACGGATTTTGTGGGGGGGTGCAGGGGGGTGCTACCCCCCCAATATTAGCTATAACCCCCCCAAACAAAATGTCCACCCCTCCAAAAAAAATTTCAACCCCCCCAATATATTCGGCATAATAAAAAATAATTAAATAGTCCACTCCAACGTGCAGAGTGTTGATGATACAAAATAAACGTAGGAGTACACTCAAATAGAAAAAGACAGTGCAATACTCTGAAACTAATTGCTCCTCGCTTGCATTCACTGGTTTATTGGACCAATTGTAAAGTTTTGAAACTCTATTATCTCCCCTGAATAGAGTTTGCAGTGCCTTGTCATGCAAATAGCTTGCTTGCAAGGAACGTTTGGAAATTTTACGAACATTATTTTTAGTTTTTAATTCTTTTAGGAAATAGTCTTGCCTAGATTTAATCTTTACGTCCCAAATATTATTTACATCGGAGTTGCATCATAAATTGTACTCGGATTCAAACGACACAATGTCAATGATTTTATAAAAGTAAAAGTATATTGTGTATTGGCCTATTGGGTTTACACTTTTACCGATTCATTTAACTTTAACTCTCTCAAGTCTCGACAGACAATTGGACAGGCCAAATCCATTGATATGACAACTTCAGGCTTTCTTGCCATCCTACTTTTCCTACTTTTTCCTACTTTTCTTCAACTTTCCTACTTTTCCTATTTTTTATTAAAAATTGCTTGATTTTCCTACTTTTTCCTACTTTTTCTCATAAAATCCTACTTTTTTAAGACAGCTTGGGGAATCAGTATGTTATAGCTCTCGTAATTAGATCTATAGGACTCGTAATTTTTATTCGCTATTTGTGTCTCACATGATAAGATCTCAGGAAGAAAAGAAGTACATTTTCCTGGTATAAAATTTCATAGCATCTCTAGAATCACAATCAATAAATTAATGAAGACTCTGAAAGTGCCATTTCCGACAATCTAGAGATTCGAAATATTCAACTCCCCCCTCAGTTAATCAAGCATCATATATACAGGGCCGTAGCAATTTGCTAATAATCATTTTTTTTTCAAAATCATGCAGACCTTTATTATTTAATCCATGACGAACTGTGAAGAATGAAGATATTACCCATATACTTTCCTGCAACTTATCCAATATATAGTTAATTAAATACGCCTTCGCCCATTTAGTACTACTAAATTGTAAATTTTGACATACTAAAATTCTGTTTTCTGACCATTAGAATTCTGTCAAATCTTTCCCAAAGTCCAGGAAATGGCATTTCAGAGACTCTAAATTTAAAAATTTCCTCGGGCCTTTGGCCCTTGCTTTCAGCCATATATATGCTTTCAGGCCCCCCAACAATCGAAAAGAGCTTCCTACGGCCCTGATATATGCTTCTACCGCAGTGTGGATTGGTGCATTGTGTAACCCAATACATGCATTTGAATTGTGTTGCTGCAGAGCAAATGCCTTAGCTTTTATACCGATGCAATTTAAAAGTTTTGAGAAAAAAATCCTGCATAGATGAATGAGTACATAAAAATATTGAGCACCAAAAATTCACACAACTTCCCCATCAGATATCTAATGGTCTACCCCTTACCACATATATCCTAGGGGCCAATTTTGTATATTTTTGTGTTATTTGCATCTCCAAAACTCCTACTTTTGTCCTACTTTTCTACACATTTTCCTACTTTATTCCTACTTTTCCTAAAATTCTAGTCCTACTTTTGTCCTACTTTTCTACACAAGGATGCCAGAAAGCCTGCAACTTAAAAAAACGTTTTTTCGAAGCTAGAAATCATGTTTTTTTAAGGGATACTTTGTTTTCTGCTCTCTAGACTCCCACTCGCGGCTCTAGTGCTCCGCCCCTAGAATATAGACCTTACTGGGGTTTGGTGACACTTTGTGTTGCTCCAGTCACCTGCTCGCGGCTCACCCCCCTAAAATTTCTGGCACCACCCCAGTAAAAAATATGAAAATCCGTCTATGATCTTTAGTTAGTTAATCTAGTTCCTATAGGGTAGCAAACTAGTCTATTTATTAAACCCGTCCAGATAGATCTGAAGAAAAGCGAGTTCAGTGTTACCGTTAACATGAAAATGATGAAATTGCATTCTAAAAGTCACTGATCACTTTTATGTTTGGAAAACCAATCATAAAGCATGTAGTCTTTATTGCTATGTTGCCCCAATGGCCTCGTTTTCATGTGGCGATTTTCTCATGTTTCGTGCACAATAGTCTGTTCGACAATTTCTCCTTATCCCCCGAGTTTAAGGATAGGTTTGTGATTGGGCTCAAGATCAAAGAGAAACATATTTGTGTATGAAACATAGGGAAATAACCTTCATGTGTGCTTGCCATGCTAAAACAGGCAAACATGAAAACGAAACCATTGGCATTGTGGCAGACGTGCAATAAATAGTAAATATCGAGATTTTGTTGGCATCTCATTCGATTCAATAATAGTTGAAGGGTCTTGTAGCTGGAAATTATCGAGTTTAAATTTATATACATTTATTAGACAAATCAAACAAATCTCGATATTTACCCATAACTTAAACATGGCAGTACCCTACATGAACTTGTGGTTAGAGCTCGACAACTGGCCTCAGTTGGTTAGAGCGCTGCACCGGAATCGATTCCTGCTGGGGACCTATAGTTGTTTTTTTCGCAGCTGTTCTTGGTTATGTCTAATGTATGTATATAAATTTTCACTCGATAATTTCCATCTACTGATCTACAAGACCCTTCAAATAAACAGCAAAGTCTTTTGATGCAATTCTGACTGAGCCAACTTGGTTTTAAAGTGTGGTACATATTTTTCTAGCTGGACTTGGCCGTACTGGAAGTTTGATTGGTTGTTATATTATGAAGCATTTTCATTTTTCTGCCGCAGAAGCAATAGCATGGATGAGGTGCGAATGACGTGATGTGTACTTTCCATTGAAATTAATATTACTGGAACGCTACCTTCAGATAAACTGCCTATCTTTTTCTTGAAGCCAAGACACGCGTGTTTATTTCATGATTGACCAGAGCGCTTATATATATATAAGCGCCCTGTGATTGACTGATTGCATGAGCGCTCTTCGCATGCGTGAAAAGACTGGGACTGGCCTTCAAGTTTGGCTTCAAATTTCCGGTTGGAGATAGCGTTCCAGTTATACTCATTTCAATGGTACTTTCAGTTATGTCATCGAGTCGGTGGGGGGGGGGGGATCACTTGTCTCGGGCACCAACATTATAGGTGCTCCCCACCTCATGTTAAAGATTTCTCTCCCTGTGCACCGGCGTCGATGTACAGAGGGGAGCTCTACAAATATTGCGTTGCCTCCGCTGTTTTAAAATTATGACGTCATACTGCCCCCATATTGCCATCATATTGCAACATGGACGTCTTTTCAACCAATCAAGGAATAAGAATTTCAGATAGAAGATCAAGTAAGTACTGATTACAGTAAGTCAGACTGCCGGTTAAACATGGCCCAATGAAGGTAAAAAAATGCGTAATGGGGGCTCACTTGAATTTAGACTGCCTTCAAATTTGGAGAATTTGCCTTTTTGTGGTTTGCAATAAATTGGCATTTTATTATCCGCTAATAACGAATTTTTCACCTTGCAGAATATGCCGTCCTGGGTCTGTAATTGGTCCACAACAAAACTTTTTAGAAGAGTAAGTGATTTGATTAATGGTTATCTTTGAAAACAATTATTGAATGAAGTTGGGTATGATAATGAAGAGTTATTAAAGCCGAGGTTCTCTCTCGTCCGCAGAGGCTTACATGAAGTTTCTAGTGAGGGAAAAGTGAGCGCGCAAGGAGTGATGGGAAGAGCTAAATAAAGGAAGCCTCTGCGAGTTAATGCAATCAAAATGGCGTCGTATATAATCGTTTGTAGCGAAGTTCGATCAACCATCGAGGGTGTTAAAACATGTTTTCGACTTTCATTTTCACGCGTACTTGAGTATCCTGGGGTGAATTCAATATCAATATCTTCTTCTGTCCATTTGCATCGAAAAATATTGAGAAATTGCAAACGAATATCAATGGATACCAGCTATCTGATTATAAATATCCTCAAAATTGCAACATTTCTTTATAAAAATGACTCTATTGAACTTCGATACTCAGATTATGAAGATTCATTTCAATTTCTTTCACATTTCCGTCGATTTCAAGTTTAAAAAAAGGTCGAACAACTAGTTTGGTTCAAAAACCATACTTCGTCGCATTATCTGGCAGAGCCTCCCCAACTTCATTTCAATCTTCCCATCAATCCGCGCGCGCTCGCTCACTTTTATTCAGGAAACTTCATGTAAGTTATTTCTAAATACACAAGGAGGCTCTGCGGAGGAGAGAGGCCGAGGTTTGTTTTACGTGCAGAAGCCGAAGTGGATAATACAAACCAGGGTCTTAGCTAGGATTTTATATCTTGGGCGTGTTTCTAAAATTCCAGGGTGTGCCCATGTCAATTGCCTTGAATAACCAAAAACACGATAGTCCAGTAAGTCCAGTAATGCTTGTCAACAATAGAACAACCTGTGGTTGTTCTATATACCTTTCAACCAAATACAAGGCGAGCATACGCTCATATTTCGCACTGACATAATTATTTGATAATTGACATTATAATTGACATTATTTTAGCAACTCTTGGGACATTAAAAGCCATTTTAACAACCATACGGTGCCCATTATCCATCAAAACATTAAAACATCACGGATCACTTTTACCAATTTCAACAACTGCAGATCATTTTACAAAGAAATTATGTATGTTGTGAGTAGCAGCACCTTATTTTATGAACCTACATGCACGGCCAAAAATAAATACTGAAGCCGCGTTCATTTCATCTAGCCGTGTTTTTACATTGTTGGCCGCGTTAACACGGCCAACACGGCCTTCTAGCTAAGACCCTGATACAAACCTAATCACTGTATTCAATAATTACTTTTATTAAAATGTTTATTTATTTATTTAAAAAATTTACCCTAAGGCGGGTGCAGGGGCGGCGGAACAGGGGGGGCTAGGGGGGCTAAAGCCCCCCAGAAGTAAAAGTGGGGGGGCTTAGCCCCCCCAGAAAATTTGAATTTTTGGAAAAAAATTTGATAATTACGGAAAAATTTAGGTTATTTTTTGAAAATTTAGGTATGAGGGGACAAATTTGCAATATTTTGTTTAAAAAAAGTGTATTTCGGAAAAAATTTTTAGATATAAGTACGAAAAAAATTTTTTCGTCCCTTTTTTTGTATATTGTACCCCTAAAATGGTACACTGACCGAAATTTTTTTGGCGACGGGGGGGGGGGGAGGTCGCCGAAAAAATTTAGCCCCCCCAGAATGAAATCTGTTCCGCCGCCGCTGGGCGGGTGTAACTATAAGAGGACACGAGGTCCCATACTAGATAGTACACCTATGTTATTGCATTCTATGTTACACCTACTGTACATGTACGTTATTGCATTCAGTAATGTTCCATCCTTATGTTATATTTTTCTTCATCAATAGAAAGCAAGCGAGTTTATGGATACAAGGAGACATTTTTAAAACCAGACATAAAGATGTGAACGAAAATGGTGAGATGATAACATTAAGTCGAATATATTCTGTTTCCGCGAGAGCCGGCAAAGAATACATGTGTTTGTGTGCAGACGACCTCAAAGGTGTGGTCAGGTCTTGCTTGTGACGCATCCTATAGTTATACATTCATTTGGGAATGTAGGTAAGCCCGCATATAAGATATTTACTGAGACCATGGCTACTGTTTGCGAGATGAATTTTCCATATGAGCACTCTATCCTTCAGATACTACTTGGTCTGTCTTCAATTACTATGCATCTATAGAACACTTTATTTTTTTACCAGTACTCAACGCCGTAGGAACAATAACGACAGGGGTGGACTCTTTGAGAATTGAAAGTTCTGTGATTGACACTTCACCGAATTCCTTCAAGGTAACGCATATAATGTTTTCAGTAGAATCATGTAATACTGAATGATATGTTATGTAATTCTAATATCCATTGTACAGAGCTTCCAGGCATGCAGAAGAGGGGGACTCTGGGGGGGAGGGGGGTTCATGTCGATATATTCGCAGATTGCATAATCATAACCTGGAACGTTCTTTGCAACAGTAGGGTTGAAATGATGGGTAACGATTTTAATAATTTGTGCTTGATTACTATGATCCTACCATTATATGTATCTCTACTATGAAATAGCTTCGGTATGTTGGAATCTCTTTCTTCAAGAAACATTATTTGAAACATTTCTAGGACCAAAAATTAATACTGGAACGTTTCATTTTTATCATGTTGCACCCTTCTTGTCACCTCCACATCTTGTCAGCCCGCTCTTCGTTGAGATCCCCTCCCCCTTGTTATTATTTCAGTTCCACACCAAACAACACCATACGTGTTGAAAAACGAGATTCTGGTCAGGTTTCATGTGATATAAGTCGAATCTCATTGTGATGATAGACGTTGTCTTCGCGTTGCCCACCTGCTTTCGTACGCTGTCACACCCGTAAGGTGTCTAAGTTACAACATCCTATGGAACCATAATTAAACCATTTTATAGAATTCACTTTATAGAATTCACTTTCGTAAATAATCTCTATTTGGATGAGTCCAATTTGGATGTCATGCAAACTCCCCATAGAAAACCATTTTATAGAATTCACTTTATAGAATTCACTTTCGTAAATCATCTCGATTTGGATGAATCCGATTTAGATGCCAATTTCCATGCATGATGATGTTACCTCATATTAAAAGTGGTCCATCACTAAATATTTTCTCCCTTGTCTTTGTGTACCTCTGCAGGATATATCAAGCTCCCTGTTTAATTCCACACTAAGTAAATCCAGGACGTCAAAATCAATAAGTGCAGTGACTCGAAGTTCAGTGAAAGATGAAAGTCATGATGAAGATAAGACATCCACACAAGGTGATGAACTACGGAAACTGAAGTCTAACTGGTCTTCAAGACATCCGCGTTGTGCTACTACTGGAGCAATCAGGTAATACGTCACAAAGCTGGTGATAGTTTTTCATAGTTTTACAGGGACAGTCTATTTAACAAATAGATAAGATTTTGCCGTTGTCTGTTCAGTAATAGATACACAGTATGACGTCATAATGTGCGAAGAACAAAAAAGTGGCGCACGAGCCGCCGAGGCGAGTGGGTCACTTCTTTGTTCCGAGGCGAGTGGGTCACTTTTTTGTTCTTTCCACATTATGACGTCATACTGTGTATCTATGACTGAGCAGACAACGGCAAAATCTTATGTATTTGATTTATACAATAAAAGGAACCCCCGAATTAAACAGGTAAATAGCTTACTTTTTATCCACCCAAACATTTGAAAAATTTGAAAAAGTCGAAATTTTACAAATATCCCCTCAGAGAATAAGATTTGTGTCTCTTGACTTTTGTTAGTTTCATAGTTACTTTAGTAATAATTTTGTTTTCAGAGTTGAAGACCTCCGTTATGGACATACGAGAACGACATCGAGTCGTGGCCATAGGTAAGATACGTGTTCAAACGCGTATATTTTCACAACATGACAGCACTTGTTGTTGTCATACTGAATAATTGTGACTTCCAGTACCGCTACCATGAACCAATCAAATGCGTTTAATCTACCCAATTAACCAATCAGATGCGAACTGATCCGAACTGACCTATCTGGATCTACAGTATCTTGTCTTTTATTCTTTTGTGTTCTGTACTGATGTATGAAATCGCTCTTTAACAACGATAGAAATATGTCAACATTCTCTCGCCGCAGTCACCTGAACATGGTTATGATCAAAAGAGAATGACAGGGTTCGTACGGGTCCTGGAAAACCTGGAAAGTCATGGAATTTCAATATTCCAAAATCCAGGCCTGGAAATCCTGGAAAATCAATTTTAGTCCTGGAAAGTCATGGAAAATTGAAATTTTACATAACATTAACAAAGTATTTTACTTATTTCAATTTACCAGTCATAACAATAATATGAATTGTTGTTATATAACGGATTTTTGCAAGAGCGAAGTGAATTTTGTTCTTTTATTATATCTGTTATCGTTAAGGTTACAGGACACCCTTTTTGGCGTTTTGCGGAAAATCGCTACTGCGCGCTCAAAATCAGTCCGATTTTCATCAAATTTTCACCAAATGTTAGCCAGTGCATGTAAAATATGGTAAAGTTGTAATATTGACAAATAATAAAATAATGTAAGAATTATTCAGGAAAACATTAAATCGCGGTACCGTTACGCTTTTGAGTTATGTTCCTACTGATTTTAAGATATATTTATGACAATATCATTTTTATACAGTAAAATTATTTATAGTTGTTCTAAATAATTGTGTTCGGAAATTTTTGTTTATTTCGTCATTCCGCTGAAATGGCGTTTTCTTTGACGACTGCAATATATTTCTGAATCGTTTGAGTGAATTGCTGCTTATTAATAAAATATCCAAAATTAGAAAAAAGCCGAACACAATTTTGAAACTGACGCCTTTAGCTATGTCCTGTGAAAATTTGAGAAAAATTCGTTAAAACCCGCAGGAGAACAACACGTTTGAAAATCAGTAATTGCCGTAAAATTCTTTGGGAGAAAATTGAATTTGAATATTACATTTTCAATGTTTTTCTTATTGCAGCGAAATGTATTTTATTAAATATAACTCTGCGAGTTTTCAACATTTTTCGTTCAAATTTGGTCAGATAGTAGAACTACAGTAGTCCAATGCTTTCATGGAAACCAATAAAAACATTTTAGGCAAAATTAACACTCAAAGGTGTTCTGTAACCTTAAAATATTAACGAATTTCAGAAATTCCAGACTTCCAGGTCATGGATTTTGAAAAAAAAATGGTCATGGGAAGTCATGGAAAAGTCATGGAATTTTAAATGGGAGAAGGTGTACGAACCGTGGAATGAGAGAGTTGACACTCACGCGACCGTGGTTATAGCGTTCTTAACGCGTTTCTAACACTATCATGTATTCTATTTAAGTTAAAACATAGTTGGAACACTCATCAACCTTTATCTTGATAATCTAGAGCTTCAAATGTCCCCATAACAACGCGTGACTGCCAACACTCATCAACTCCCATCCTCGTTTGACTGGGGCTTAATTATTGCCCCATGTAATTTGCAGTGCCATATATATAAATTTCTTATTTTCTCGTTTTATAGATTGACTAGTTCTTTGGCCATGCAGTCTGTTATCTCTCCTCTTAAAACTTCAAAAGTTACAGCTATACCTCGACGTACGACCAGAAGTACTAGCCAAGCCCTGAAAAGGTAAAATTCATTCCATTTATACAATAGGCAATAATGACAAGTTGCTCGGATCACGAGAATAAAATATTCCAGAGGAATCAACAGAAAACACAAAGCTGCAGTATGTACAGTCGAACCCCCTATAAACTGACACATCTCTTATGCCCCTTAGGGCAGGTACATACTTTCGCTTTCTTTTCGTAAGAAACTAAATCTTGAATGCATGCTTGTTATTTTCTGCAGTCGTAGTGGTAGTGGAGGACGAACTACGTTGTCTTTAAAACGAGGTGTAGATGAAGAAACTAGGGAACTAAAAAAAAGTAATTCCACAAGGACTGTGCTTTGAAAATTATTATATGGAGTATTTATGGATGTCGATATTTCATGGGAGGATGGGCAATTACGAGAGTTGGATTATGTGGAATAATGGACAATTTGTGAAGATCGGTGTGGATTATATGGATAGTGATTGGACAGTGTCCTTGGAAGATTTGATCACGATACAAAGCGCACTAGGATGAACAATTGATAAATGTTTAGGGAAGAAGTAAGGCTACATGGTTATTCGGGAGAAGTGGAAGCCAATGTTTGCATAAAGGAATCAGGCGTGAAATCATTTTATATATTGAGAAGAAAAATAATACAGTCCAGCGTCATGGACCCTACAAAGTATTATCAATTTGAAGAATCGGGAAAATCCCAAGAATTTTTAATTTTTTATAGGCTGTGATAAAAGAATGTCTTCTTTTAAATCCGCGAAAACCTCACTTTATTAGACCCTTTTTATTTGTATATGCACACAACGAGACCAATGGTGTGTAGTAAGTTGTTTCAAACTCATGGTCTTTTAATCTGTGTTGTACGCAGAACTGAGCCACAGGAAGGCTGCTTTTTAAATGGAATTTGTAAAATCGTATGCCCGCGGGGTCTTTATGTGTTTGTTTGAATACTGTGCTTTGAATTTATATTTTTAACAATTTTATGGGAAGTATACATGGTGTCCCAAAAAAAAGTTACACTATAGAAATTATCCTATTGTTGTTAAGCACAGGATTTCATGCGCCTGGTAGTGGTAATTAAAAATTCAATTCCATACACCCTTTCGATAATTACGTCACACACACTTTTTGGTGGAGCCTCGCTCTCATTAGTAAATTACGCAAGATGATTGGCTCACGATTCATGAGAGTGAGGCTCCCAGGCCAAATGACGTAATTATCGAAAGGGTGTATTGTGTTTAATACACACTCTTGTGTTCAGCATAGTGCTCAGGCATTCAAATTATAACAATAGGACTATATAGTGTCACTTTTTTGGGGGCACCCTGTAGAATTGCCATAATCACGAAATGGAATCTGGCATTCCTACTGTATATAGTGCATGACTACTGTTCAGTATGTTCACGGAAGTACAAAATCGATATTATATTGTATATCATTTTTAATTAATATATATTAATTGTATATAGTAATAAATACAAATAACAGCTACAAACTCTAACTACAAAGTTTTCATGTTAATCTGAATCAACTGAAGCAGTTGATATTAACATTCTATGTGATATAATGTATACAGTTAATGCTGGGTTTTTCGCTTCAACTATATCGAAACGTACGGTAACGTAGCGTTTTCTTTTGAAATTTATTAGTTTTGATTGGATGCTCGTGCCAAACAAAAACATATACGCACGCTTTGGTATGACCCTGTTTGAAGTTAGATATACAGTAAAGGTTTTAAAAAGATATTTAGTTTCATACTAAATGCTGTTGCATTTCATCTTTACACTGTAATTCTTGAATAAGATAATCGACATCCTGTACAGCTAGCTATTATTTCTATGATCAAAACCTTCAACCTCTAAAGCTGGATTTCCACTAGGCGGAATTTTGGGCGCGGAGCGGAATTTTTCTTTGTCTTGTGATTTCTCGGGTGGAACTAATTAGAAAAGACAAAGAAAGATTCCGCTCCGCGCGCAAAATTCCACCTAGTGGAAAACCGGCTTAAAGGCCGGTTTCCATTGCAGTCGCTTTCCCCGCGCGGGCGGAGCGGGCTTTGAAAATCTGCCCACGCGGGCGTGACGGGCGTCAAAAACAATGAACGCTTCGCACGCGCGGGCAAAGCGAACGGTAATGAAAACAGTCTTTAATATTAAATTAAAGGGAAATGGCAATATATTTTTTTATTTTCTCGTTTGAAAGAACATTTAAAGCCATATATAAAACTCTTTTACCGTTTTTTTCATATCTTGCCTTACTTCTACAAATATTTTAATCGAAAGAAATGAAATGTCCGCCATCTTGGATTTTTGTGGATATGGATGTTACGTCACAACAGGGGTCACGCAATATTTTTATCTAGACAACCACTAATCATTTTGCACTCAAAATTATACTCTGTATGCTCTTGGAAATATCAAGATCACTTGAAACGTTTAAAACATCTACCAATCAATATTTGGTCAGTGACGAATACTTTTATATGGTTAATCCCTGTTGTGACGTCACCAAAACTACCGTTAATGAGATCAAAATTTTATCCAAGATGGCTGGCATCTCATTACTTCAAGTGAAAATATTTCAAGAACTAAGCAAGATATGAAGAATCGCTAAAAGAAGTTATTAAATAGTTTCAAAAGTTCTTTCAAATGAGAAAATAAAAAAATATATTGCCATTTCCCTTTAAAGGCTAAGCGAGAGAGACACAATGGGCGTTTTATCATTATGAATCTGGCTATGAATCAGCACTATACAGGGTGTATAAAACGCAACCTCGGATTTTCCCAAGAAATCGACATTGTTTAAGGACAAAAGATTTTAGGTGCCTGGGATAAAAAATAGCACAACTGTCAAAAACGCAAAATTTATGCATTTATTTAATGACACTTAACAAGCTTTTATTTTACAACAACAGTAATATGATCTATTAGCAATTCCATTTCAATTCCCAGGGGCCTAAAATATTTTATGCTTAAAAATTGCAAAGTGGATTTCTTAGGGTTTTTTTATACACCCTGTAGTTATATACCGTATGTTCCGTTTATTAAATGTCTTAGTAGTATATGCTAATCAAGTTTATTATATTCCCAACGGAGTTAACTATGGGTCTATGCCCCATAAACAACTTTGCTATTGAATTGGGTTAGACGACCCAATAAAATCTGATGAGGTGAAAATAACGGGAATTCATAAATTGTAAATCGCATTTTCCGCAAAACCAAAACGGTTTGTGGGACGTAGCAACCGCAACTATGGAGTGTCGAAATTATGAATTACATAGTGTATGCATGTCCATTGTGCTTTTCGCGCTTAGAGGTTGAGGTTATGGCAACCGTAATTAATTAACTGCATACATATCTGTTCTTTCCCTGCATTCTGTCTTGGTTGTCAACGATAAAAAGCAAGCAGTTAATCTCCGTGAAATTCGTGATGTTCAGCTCAGATGTTTATGGAACCAACATAGATTTTTATTTTCCTCCAGTGTCTGGTGGCATAACTAACACAGGTAAACCACTGTGTAATATGACGTATTTACTCACACTTCCCAGAAGCGCCCGCGCGAACTTGCCTAGACCGCGTGTTCCCATGAGAATGAGACTCACGTGTTCCCGATGCGCATGCTCACAAATAACGACGCCAGGTTCGCCAGTTTTATAGATTGTCTTGAACTGTAGCTGTGAGGAAATAAAGGGATGTATTGTATGGTGAAATTATGCAACGATTTTATAACGATGGCAACTGCTGTTAATTTTATAACTAGAATCTAGTAAAATAATCAGGGGGGATTACAGTAATGATATACGTAAAAAGAACGTTTATCTTTCTTATAACTCTATTGTAGCCAACTGCTACAGCATTTATCAAAGCTTGGTGCAATGGTGGAACATAGGAAATGGATGGTATATTTTGATGTAATTTAAATAATGGTAAATAAATGACACAGCTTAGACCTAGTTGTCCCATTTAGCGAAATTGGAGGAATTTGGCTTGAAATGTTCGCTGAATCATTGACAGACCAAGGATTATAACACATTTAAATCTGCTCACAATTACCGAACCTGTGGTTATAGTTTTTAATTCCAGTTATTTTTTTATAGTTGATATTATTTTGCATGCCGCAATAAATTGTAGACGCAGTAAGAATTGGACGCGAAGCACTCTCTACAGTGTTCAGTTATTGTTCCACTCTGTCGTGATAGAATAGAGCACCGTGGCTTCAGACCTCTATCTACTTCCCAGTCGTTTTCCTCACTTTGTGAGAAAGAAAATAAACCTACAACAACCAACTACAACGTAACACTCTTCCTTAACACGTGATGAGCTTTTTTTAAATCAATGCAATCGGGATGGTCATTATCAATAAGAAGACGGGATAAGCTTGGACCCCAGTTCAAACTGCCTCCTCCAAGCAGAGATCTATATGTTTCCTCGCGCACAAAGCGAGGTTTACAAAAGAAATTAAAATATTCTCGAAGCAGGATAGGGACAGAGTCGCTGTTTACAAAACAGTTGCTGCGTGAATAGTGGAAGATAATAGTAGTCCTTACATTATTTCCACGGCAAAGCTCTTCAAATTCACTAATCCTCTGAAGTATTTCTTTATCAACTGAGCTCTGAACACCTTCCCATTCTGTTAATGACACTGAATAACCAACTAAGAAGAGTAAAAACAATTGTTGGAACATTGAACATACACTTCTTTGATCTATTTTAAATTTGAAATTGAGAATAAATTCTTGTTATTCCGAACATCTATCCCAGACAATATACTAAAAGAGTAAAGCGGAAGAGTAAAGAAATTCAAAAAAATAGTCGTCTGATTTTTTAGAATGTATGCCCTTATGGCTTATCAGAATAATCTCGCGTGCCTAGTGGTTGTATAGTGATAAAATATTTGTCTGAGAAAATGCAAATTCAGGTAAACTATCGGGAACTATCTATCACTTCACTACCAAGGCCAAGATAACAAATTATCATTCAATTTTTATGAATTCACATTACTATACATCCTGTATTCCGGTTCTTTTCAAATGTCGCCTGCTTATGATCTCGTCTGTATAGTCTAAAATATTTGAGACTAAATTGAGGGGAAGTTATACATAAAGTTATCAATGGATTAGTGTACACTTACATCTGGCTGTTGGAGTAGACATAAGAGGAACGGTGTAAACGTGTATCAAAATAACTTTGTCGTTGTCTTTCCTTAGCTTGTTGAAGTACCCTATAAGAAAATGCACCCAGTAAATATATATTTATATACTATTTCTTTAGTTGTTATATGGCATGGCCCCTTCGAACCAGGCCAACGTCGTTCAAAGCTAGGTGGTACAACATTTTCAAACACCAGCCAACATTATCATGAAAACATACAGAATACAAGATTCCCCTTATTACGTTTTCGTAGCGCTTTGCATTGTGGTTATAGTGGTATCACTGATATTCAAGATGGCTTATTTTTTGTCCTGACCCGTGCAAGAAATTTTAAAAAAGCTATAGGGTCAGGTGCGCGATAGCCAATAGCAAAATATTCGCGAAAACATTCAATATTTTCATTCGAGGCCGCTATCTTTAGTGATACCATTAAACCACAATGCAAAGCGCTACGAAAACGTAATAAGGGGAATCATCAATTGCAAAAAAGCTGCATGCGGATATGTGGGTAACAGCCACGAGGAAGGTTTACCATATGTGAGGTAACTGAGGTTAATGAACAAGGTTTAATTAATGTGAAACACTCTACTCAACACTAACACAATAAAATATGATACTAGTAACTGAGCAGGTTGAGATTGGCATATGCAGGATGCTGATATTATTGTGCTGGTAACTAGAAGGGTATAATGGTGCCGATATACAGATGACTATGTCACATGGATAATACTGAGGAGTAAACAACAAAAATTGAGAAATATTCAGTCGGGAATAAGAATAGTAAACAACAAAAATTGAGAAATATTCAGTCGGGAATAAGAATAAGAAGCAGATTTTGAATGACATAATTAATATAATATTATTTTGCAATTTGAAACGTATAGCCATAATCGAACACTTTCTGCAACTCTGAAAACATAATGCGGGCAGACCCAACAACCTTGCATGATGTCGACTACTGATGGTTTGAATGGGCGTTTAGTTTTTATATTTTCAGATATAACACAGTCTATTTATATTTTACAGTCTTTCTGAAACGTCTTGACAATTCAAATGATTCAATGGATAACTTTTCCCAATAATTTCGTTCTCTAATTCGTATAAGGCATAAACCCAAAAAAAATTACTTGGTCGGTTTCATATATAAATGTTACGATAACGTTTAATCTCTTACATCAGTAATTACATATTCAAGCAGAACGTAATCAGAGCTAATGAAAGTTGATCAAAGTACAGAGACGTTTGTTTTTTTATATTTTACTCATACAAATCTGTCCGTATCGGACAACAAGTCAACAAAACAGCGATGTTTGTGCTGAAAACACAACAACTTCTCACGAAATTGAATTAAACCTCGTTCTCAGGATGATTGTCTACGGACACTTCCTCAGTTCCTTCTAAAGTTTCTAAAAACGTAGCATATATATATTTGTAATTTGTTTGTTTCCTGAACACTAGGTTGGAACAAATGATTTTGAGCCCTTTGACACAAAAGAAAACGCTACTTTTCCGTCAGTTCGGTTGAAACGGAAAACAGCTAGGCCTTATAACGTACAAAATAGCAGTTCTTATCACGGGTTTCAACGACTATATATGCTGTTCCAGTGTACATATAATGAAGACTTTGAAGTAGTTTATGCGAAACCCTCATTCTCAGTTCTGCATGATCTTATCGCTGTTTGGACGTCGTGTGCATTCCCTACTTGATTTACTACTAACCATACTCCGCGATCGATAAATAAAGTAACGGTGCTGACCCGACTGACTATATCACGGCCATTATCCCAGTAAAACATAATTTACAAATTCTACGATATATTTACTTACATTCAAAAATTCTTTTACTGTTCCCGCTTTTGTCGATAGGAATCATCACAATTCGCCGACAGTCAGCCATACTATACAAACAATATTTGCCTTTCAGAAGAACTAACTTTTCGGATTCGGTTAGTCTTAAAAATATTTTTATCAAGGTCCGGTAATTTTGAGAAAAATTTGCAGCCGACTTACTCTAATCTCTGTTCGTTTTCTCGATATTTTCAATACACGAGCCTGAGATTTTGTTTTTAAAGACACTCCAGCTGGGTTGTTTTTCAAACAATCGCTACTATAAAATATGTATGAGACTTATGAGCTCAACGAGATAATTGTTTTACGAATATCGCTTGAAAGAACGTCATTAAGGATTTATAATTGATCGATATTTAATTTCCACACAAGTGACAAGAGCATGCAGAATATGTTCGTAAATGGAGATCGTAAATGAAATTTTATTAGTAGTTAATATTGGCGAACCACAAAATCACAGGAACTTTGAGTCTTTGTCTTTGTAGTAATCAGTTTATTCCTGCCGTGTTCTTGATATGTTTTTATCAGTATAGACAGTAGAATTTTTTGTTGTACTATTCAACATAGTCAGATATATAAATATATTGAAAACTAGTCTCTACATCAAGGCCTAATTAATATCAACTCAACAATAAACAGCAAAAATATTCCTACACTCTTCAGCATAGTCCATAGAGTTGTACATAATCTTCATGGCATGCCAAAACACATGCATGCAGCTGTCCATGACGTCACAATAGATCTAAAAACGTAGGACTATTTATAATGTTATCTAACCAATTTCAAATCTTAAAAATATCTCAATCTGCTATTGAAAGCTTGTGATTAAAAAGCTTTTGAAAATGAGATCAATGACGCTGATCTTTGCATGTATAATATAAACACAAATCAGCGCATTGTTTGTGATAGCGAGATATACCGTAAACCTTTTAATGAAAATATATAGAAGATGGAGTTAGAATTCGCTGATACGCGGTTAAAGCTTTCCTAACTTTATAATTGTGGGAAGCTTTAGATTATACAGTACAAGTACGTCTATAAGACGGCCGCCGGCTCCTATATTAAACAAGACGCCTGCTCAAGGCGTTCGCTCCATCGGTAAAGGGGAAGGGCAGCAACATGCACAATTGCTTGGGGTGATGTAGGAAGTTGGTGAGGCATGGTTAGCACCTTATAACCTTGGCATTTTGGCAAAGAGTAACATAATACTGCACATACAAATCAGAAATGAAATATATATCTCCAGTACTTTAATTATACTTGGTTTAGTCTACAGTATATATTATTAATATATTATAGATCGTATACAGTTCTACTTCAAATGTATAAATACGGTACACACTTGCACATCTGGTTCCCAGAAGGCTTGAGATAAGTACAGTATCATTGTGAAATAATAAGGTGATATATAGTATCTGGTGTTCCATCAAATTTCCACTGTGTTTTACCACTTTTATGTCAGTATTGTATTCTGGGTTGAAAAATTTTTCTTTTAGGATAGAGAATGTTTCAAGAGAACTAGTAACAGTTTCCAATATTCTTCAGGGACATAACCAATAACCATCAATCCATTATACATTAATTATTATAATTAATGAAGAGCATAGCCGTCGATAACCTCCTGATAACTAAAGTAATGAGCAAAATTTCACAGGTGACGTAGTGACAGTCTACGAAATTAGAAAATTTATGTGCCTGTGGAGGTTCCGTTGAACTTAGCCTTCTGCATATAGCCTATATAAGCGTAAAAATTTGGAAGTATAGAAGAAACAGAATATAGCATGTTAAAATCTTACCACTTTAAAGCTAGCTTTCAACTGTCTTGGAGAAATAATGGCTTTAATTCAACCTGATTCGTTCTTTCGTTGTTGTTGCACCAACAAAAATACATTAATTCATAAAGAGTATTTTAATAATAAAAAGTCCTGAGTACAACAAAAAACATGTTGTGAAAAAAAACACAAAAAAACATGTTGTGACATGAAAAACACAGTACAGTGAATTCGGTCAAAATTTAGCGAAATTGCCAGAAATATTATTTGCCCACTCATCACGCAACCGCCATTTTGAAGGTCACTGAAGCATACTTACAAAATCACCCATACTGATATCCATAAAATACACCGATATACGCGTACCTGTGAAACGTTCCTTTTGTGACTCCACGGAGCTTTAAAATGCTATTTTTCTGTCTCCTTCGGGTTACCCCGACGGAGCAATTAGCAGCGGCTGTTATGCAAATTATAGGATGAGACACGGTGGAAAAGACTTTCGGACATACCAAAATTTTTCAGAACATCAAACACATTTTCCAAACATCACAAAATTGACAGAATTTCCCTCAAAATTGACAGAATTTGTCCCATTTATTTTTTTAATAACCCAATATTGCCCGACTGTGAAGCCAATATTGCCCAACTTCGCCCGACTTATGTTGAACATTTGCCCGACTTTTCGACTTTGTAATCTTTTTTTGGGGGGGGCAGCTGCCCCCCTGCCCCCCCCCCGTCCCGTACGCCTATGAGTCTGACAAAAAATTGTTTATTTTGTCTAAAGATTCGATTTTAATGAGACTCCGCGTTTTCCACTTTAAGCCCCCATAAAGTGGAAAACGCGGAGTCTCCTTATAATCGAATGATAAGGAAAAATAAACAATTTTTTGACAGACTCCGAACTCCGCACTCCGTCTTTTCCACCATGCCCCTGTATGTCGGTTTGAAAGTTCAAGAGGTTGGAATATCGTAATGATATCGAAATGTCATAATGATATTGGAATGTCATAATGATTAATGACATCAGACAGTGATCAGTTTGAGTTTTGGTCGTGTGTCGTGGGTAAAAAGTCGTGCGTCGTGGGTAAAAAGTTGTGCGTAAAAAGTCGTGGGTCGAAAAATGCTCTAAATTTCCAAACACTGCTTTTGCTAAATAATTTCTGTTTTAGCAAAACGCGTGCAAGCGATTGACAATGCCCAATTGAATATTTAACCGAAATTCTTCATATTACGCGTTCGAACTTCGAACTAAAGTGCAGCAGGCCAGCGGCAAGTAATTAAAGAAATGTTATGACGCAATTAACATGCCCGCACAGAACTGACAAACACTTCCTGAGACCACGCTGAGACTGAGTTCATATATAATCTGTTCAACAAGTGTTACATGTCTTGCGTATAAGCCGTAATTTTAGCTGCTTTGAATTGATTTCTGCTGTACTTGATCAAGTTATAAATTCGTTTCAGAACAGTAGCGATTGGCATTCCACTGGGCGGAAAGCACCATCATTATACAGTAATTCATATTAAAATTTACACCACTGCCATAAACGACGTCATTTTGCTTTCTAAAACTTGATTTACGACATAATTTTTAAACGTTTTTTCAAGCTTGTGAACGCAATGCGCATGCGCGAGTTTGGCTGCATTCTGCCTTTAAAATATTGTACACGTTCGCTGCATACCAGTGTGCAGTATAAAGGATGCCAAAGGCTGAAAATAGCGAACACTTGTACGCGTCATGGTCGCCATTTGGAGTTTTTATTGAATTTTATTTAGTAAAAATGAGGTAATTTTTACCAAAACAAAAATATGCAATTTGTCATTTTGTGGCAGACGACGACTGAAATGCCGTACCGAAACCTATAGTCGCTGGCACGTACAGCAGCTGCACCACAGCGACTAAGTATTACTCAGTGGGGATGGGGTATGAAAAAGACACTAACTAAGAGGTGTCTTCACTCGGTCAGCGACAGCTTGGAGAGTTAGGGAGTACGTATTAACCTGGGTAGGGATAAAACGCTGAAACCGAATCGCGGAAACGGAAACTGAAAGCGGAAACTGAAATGGGGATAAAACGCTGAAATGGGGATAAAACGCTGAAATGGGGATAAAACGCTGAAATGGGGATAAAACACTGAAATGGGCCAATTTAATCGAATTCGTTGTTTGCTAGACCATTGCGAACACATGTAATTTGCCTATAAAACTGAATATGACAACCACAAAATTGGCGAAGAACGAATTTTATCTGACAGTTATCTTTTATTAATAATGTAATCTACAATTCCCTCCATATAACTTCGAATTGAACTTTTTGTGATAGCATACTATCTTGACACTGCCATATGGCTGCAATCTCGTTCCCCGAGCCTGCGATCCTCGGGAAGGAACGCGAGGCTCTGGAATAATCCGTTGCCGGAAGCCAGGAATCCTGGCTAAGATTGAACTACGCATTCCATTTCAACGGCCAATCAGATTCCTCCCTGAAACGGATTATCCCAGAGCCTCACGTTCCTTCCCGAGGATCACAGGCTCGGGGAACGAGATTGATATGGCTGGTATTTTGGGTGTAAAACCGGTGTCACAGGAATTTCCCGGGAATTGTCAGGACACGTGTCTATTTCGGAAAAAAACGGTTTTCCTCTCCTGCATACACGCGTAAAAATTATGAACTTGTAGTTGCAATGTTGATAAAAACAGGTTGCAACAACATTGTGCTACACCTATTGTTCACGAATGTTAACAATATTGTTCAGCATTGTTGCACCCCATTCAAGATGAATAATATTGTTCAATGTTGTTAACAGTAAAAAATAGGTCAGCATAATATTGTTGCACAGGCAGTACAGTACAGGCGGTACAGTACAGATTATCATGTATAATGGCGGATTCGCCAATAAAACAACGTATATTATATAATAAACATGCATTATATTGTCTTACTGCAGTATTCAGTTTATTAAAAACGCAGTTTTATAATTTGTCAATCTTTACCGCGAGGTATAGTAGTCAAATTTAATTCAAACGACTTTAAAAATAGTGCAGGTCTATAGTGCAGCTAGCAGACGTTCTTCGAAAATGTGTGGTTGTCATTTTATACCGGGAACTTCTTTCTTATATTAGTTCAGTTTTATAGGCAAATGACATGTGTTCGCAATGGTCTAGCAAACAATGAATTCGATTAAATTTGCCCATTTCAGCGTTTTATCCCCCATTTCAGCGTTTTATCCCCATTTCAGCGTTTGATCCCCATTTCAGCGTTTTATCCCCATTTCAGCGTTTGATCCCCATTTCAGCGTTTTATCCCCATTTCAGCGGTTTATCCCCAATTCAGCGTTTTATCCCCAATTCAGCGTTTTATCCCCATTTCAGTTCCGCTTTCAGTTCCGCTTTCAGTTTCCGTTTCCGCGATTCGGTTTCAGCGTTTTATCCCTACCCGTATTAACTTAGCCTGCGTAGCAATCGCTTTAATTTGTGAGGTTTTGAAGATTTGTGAATAAATGGGCGGGTTAGAAAAAAAGGGCGGTGAAAAAAAGGGCGAGAAAAGGCTATAGTATTAGCCCATTGTGGTTAATACTATAAATGGCAGTGCCCTTGTCAACTGGCCTCTGTAGCTCAGTTGGTTAGAGCAGCTGCACCGGAATCGCAGGGCTGTAGGTTCGATTCCTGCCAGGGACCTAAAGTTGCATTTTTCGCAGCTGTACCTGGTCGCAAAAGGGGATAGGATATGAACTTATAATGATTATACTTACATGCAATTATAGTTATACAAGTCCCTTATTCACTGCGTACAATCTCAGATTTGGAAGGCAGTACCCCAAAAATGGCGGCGTGAGAAAGGCTAATTCAGTGGTGGAAATCTTGGTGGAAAATGGAAAATTGCCGAATTTTCGAAAATTTTGACCTAAAAGAGGGCTAAAAACAGTCTTTTCGAGTGCAAATGGGGGGGGGGGTATGTCAGAAATTTGAAAGTGTCGGAAGTTTAGGAGGCTTTGCCCCCACCGGAAAAAGTGAATTTCCGCCACTGGGCTAATTCAAAGCAGCTATTTCATTTCGAAAGTAGCAAAATTTGATTTAATCTCTTTAGTAGAGACATGGTTATCATATGATAATACTTTTACTCTTTTTCTAAATGCAGAAAATTATTATCCCAAAGATCACGTAGAGGTTCAGGAGGAATAACTATATTAGTTAAATCCGGGTGCTTAAAAAAAGGAATTAAATTTTTAGATAAGGATAGCGATGAGCTAGACTAGTTTGTTTGGTGGAAATATATTGGATAAATCCTACAGAAACTCTTATTACTGTACCTAACTCTAGTAACTGGCCATTAATTAGTCGATCGCTAATATCCACATTGGTTGTGAGCATAATTCTCGCATTTTCTTTGATCAGGATTTTAGTGTCAAGCTAGCCCTCTAGTTTCGGATCTTCCTTTAGACAACACTCTTTCGAAATCGTGTTTTCTAACATGAGGTGGGAATTGATCTAAAGCTTCTAAAACGTACTGTGGTGATTGAATTTGTTGTAGGCGATCAATATTCTAATATTCACAAGATATCTCTTTAAAACGTCAAATCGTATTGCCATTCCCTCTACAGTTTCTGGATCACCAAGGCTAGCTGTCTAATCGCGATTTTATATCCTCAATAATGTTCAGTTCACCAACTATTTCATGATTTTCATCAGGGGGGGAAGTTTAACGAAGCGTTAATTAATATTGGTGGATATTTAACACGGTGCTATATAACCGCCAATATTCACTTCTCAAATTCATGTAGTGATGCGTTTTCAACCTGTTTTGAAACTTCAACATTGAAAATTACTTGAATATCTATACTTCAATATTGTATTTCACTTAAATTTGACATGTTCAATGAGGGAAACATGTTGAAATTGAATTTCAACCTGTTTTGAAACTTCAACATTGAAAATTACTTGAATATCTATACTTCAATATTGTATTTCACTTAAATTTGACATGTTCAATGGGGGAAACATGTTGAAATTGAAGCAATGTCGGAATTAAAGTGGCATGCTGAATTTGATGACATACTTCGAAACCCGGACCGGACTGGACCCGGATTCGGACTCGAAGAAAATCCGAACTCGAGAAAAATCCAGACACGGACTCCAAAAAAATCCGGACTCGTGTTTAACAAAACCCGGACTTGACTTTTGAAATCCCGGACTCGAAATAGACAAAACCGGATTCAAAACAAGGACTCTGCATGTACGCCAGAATGCAAAGGTTTTTTGGAAAGGTTTAATAAATATAGTTAACATGATAAACGATGATCTCTTTATAATCTTTATAATATATATCTCGGTGCTGTTAAACTATCTGGCGTTATCTGGCGTAGTACTGATAAAGAATTGAGTTGCATCGGTAATCGAGTCGGAATAACTGGCGGATTTGTGCTCTTGCGCGGGTGCTTTTCTCGCTTTCTGTATCAGTGATAGATATAATACTTTATTTCAAAAGCAATAAGCTTTGGGGGTTCGAAAGATGTAGATATTTTTTTCTTCTAGTGATTAGTGTTATGCAAGTTATCTGAGGATACTAATCAGTTACTTATCATACTATATGGTTCCTCACAACTTAATAATCACTATTTAAATAATTCATGAAGAAAACACAAAGAAAAATCATAAGCGTGTCCGATCTGTATATGTGATATAGATTCATGTTGATTTACATAAACTTTAACTTTGATTTTCTCGGCTTAGACAACGTTTATTTTTAAAATTACTTCGCCAATGAACTCATAAGATGAGTCGTTTTTTAACTGCCATTTACAACATTCGCATCCGTGTTGTATCGGATATACAAATTACCATGAGATACTAATTTACTAATACATATTCCAAATGTAGAGCTACTATGTAGAAATATTGGAATAAATTCATTGTTATTATTATTATTATTATTACATATTTGTAAAATACATACTCCTGCGAGTAGCTAAATCTACCCTATAGCTAGACCTAAATTAATAACTAAAATCTGTCTCAGCAGCTAGGAATGTCTTGTCTGTAAACCATCTCGTTACACGATTGCTGCTACTATAGCAGACTCAACGTGATCGATGGCAAGGGTAAAATATATCCTCAACATATTCGACCTCACTATCGGCAAAATGACAGGAAAAATAACTAGACTTCAACCAATCAAAAGTAACTTCAACCATGCAATCAAAAAGAACGCCGGAAAAGCACATCCTATGTTGAAGGCAATGAAGGTGTCGCGGCAACCGCGCCTAAATACCGACTGTGAAGTAATTCGAGCGTTGTGAGGATGGACATAAATTTGCCATATCATGCTCTCAAATATTTGGACAAGACGCTACTGGAAACACTTTTTTTCTCAATTTCGTTAAGATAAAGTCCATAAACACGAATTGAACACCTGCAATTATTCTTTATCAAAAATAGTAGAAAACACAACACAATGAAAGCAACAGCCGCACCCGCGGCCGACAGTGAAATTCGCGTTGGATGGTTGGCGTAAATTTGATATTGAGACTCTCTCGTTAGGCAATGCGTTCATCATTTGCCCCATATGCCTTGCATACAACCGCGGCTCGATACTGACGATGAAATTTGACAATAAATCAAGTTAACGTTATTTTCAAGAATCAACAATAAACATGCTACCCTCGTACTAGCTACTTGTAGATCCGATGCATCAATACATTTTAGTTTTTTTTTAAATAACTTATAAGTGCCTAAATGATTTGGTTCCAGTATCTAAGTGATTATTTTGTTAACAGCAGAAGATTAAAAATATCGAGATAAAGATATAAAGAGATCATCGTTTATCATGTTAACTATCACCGGCCTTTCCAAAAAACCTTTGCATTCTCGTACACAGAGTCCTTGTTTTGAATCCGGTTTTGTCTATTTCGAGTCCGGGTTTTCAAAAGTCAAGTCCGGGTTTTGTTAAACACGAGTCCGGATTTTTTTGGAGTCCGGGTCCGGGTTTTTCTCGAGTCCGGATTTTCTTCGAGTCCGAGTCGGGGTCCGAGTCCGGTCTGGGTTTCGAAGTATGCCGAATTTGATATGTTCAATGTCGAAATTCACTTCAATACGGAAACACTCTCCTCCGTAGAGGCTTTGTGTTTTGTTTCGGTAGTTTTCGAAGTTTGCAGCTTTGTGTTTTGTTTTGGGTTTTTTCGAAGTTTGCAGGAGGGATAGTCGCGGGCTAGGCAGGCTAGGGGAAAATTATAGGGGATTAATAGGGATGAAAGGGGAGCCGAGGCGGAGCGTGGGAGAGCGGGGGAAGACGGGAAGAGAGAAAAAAGAGAAGGAAGCTTCCCAATTTTCGCTCTTCCCGTCACTCCCCGCGCGCCGTTTCCCCTAGCCTGCCTAGCCCGCGACTATCCCGCCTGCAAACTTCGAAAACTACCGAAACAAAACACAAAGCCTCCGTCAAAGATTAGATACGATATCGTATCTAATCTTTGCCTCTGCGGAGGAGAGTGGAGTTTGACTAATGGTCGCGTGTCGCGGGTAAAAAGTCGCGGGTCGTAAAAAAGCTCTAAACCGTGTATTTTATTGAGTCGCGGGTTGAATAAAGTGTGTAAAAATCACATTAACATTTAGTTATTTAATGGTTTTTAATATCAATAGTTGTTCGAAGATGTTATGGCTGCAATTGCGAGTTTCCAGATAAACTAGACAAGAACCATATAACATTATTGTAAAGCACGTTGATAGACGGTAGTGCAAAAGGATCCTGTTACACATTCCTATGTTTATAGTCTTGATTTTAGTAATACATATTACAATCCAATTTCTTACCATATCAGGCGTAAAAATCCGCTATTCAGTGGCTCAGTGCGCGTTGTCGTCAAGCCTCTGCGCATCGATCAGTACTTTCCAGAAACAAGTGCTACAGAACAGCGACTTAAATATCCGGGTTGTTGGTGAATCATAATGTACTTTTATAATGTCCTAGCATGGATATATCTATTATTTGTGATACTATATGGTTCTTTTTAAATTAGTATAAAACTGATTGTAATAGTAGTGGTAAACTGAATTTATTTCTACCGAAGTCTTGTTTGTTTCTTTCAGAACATATTTTTTGATTAGAGGATTTTTGTCATGGTATAATTGTTGGTTTAACATATTGAAATTATTCTTTCAAGTTTTAGGCTTCTGGCACGTTTATATAGAACCATTAAATCATGACAAAAGGCTCTTGGGCAATATTTCGTATTGAAGCAATCCTATATGGTTGTTTACTAAATGATAACGTGATTTTTACACACTTTATTCAACCCGCGACTCGATAAAATACACAGTTTGGAGCTTTTTTACAACCCGCGACTTTTTACCCGCGACATTTTACCCGCGACATTCTACACGCGACACGCGACTTTTTACCCGCGACACGCGACCATTAATCAAACTCATTAAATCATGACAAAAGGCTCTTGGGCAATATTTCGTATTGAAGCAATCCTATATAGTTGTTTACTAAATGATAACGTGATTTTTACACACTTTATTCAACCCGCGACTCAATAAAATACACGGTTTGGAGCTTTTGCGACCCGCGACTTTTTACCCGCGACATTTTACCCGCGACCCGCGACATTCTACCCGCGACACGCGACTTTTTACCCGCGACACGCGACCCGCGACCATTAGTCAAACCAAAGATTAAGTATATATTATATATTATAAAGATTAAGTATATACTTAATCTTTGGTCAAACTCAGAGAGGCGCCATACTCGGAAGTACTCAAACGAAAACATTCCTCAAAGCGAAACTGCACGAATAATTTTCACAATATGGCTGTTGAAAAAGCCTCAATTTCGGTAGCAGTGGAAATTGTCGGTTTTATTTTGAACAAGGTTCGTGATTGTGCATCAAATAAACTCAAGGACGGCGATTTAACAAACGAAGAACTGCGTCAAGTTCTGCTTCGTGATTTGAAAGAAATTAACACAAAACTTGATTCGTTGTCGCTAAAAGATCTTTATGCCAGTCGCAGCTTCCTAAAAGAAGGTCTATCCGTTTTAATTATCGCTCTTGGTCAACCGAGTGAAGATCAAGAAACTCACGAAGGTCCCGACGAAGCAACAGCTATTTCAACCGACAGTGCGTCTAGTAGTTTAAATGAAGTCTTAACACTTCCTCAAGCGATTCAAAAATTACAAATCACGTCTGAAAAACGGTTAGAAGAAGCAAAGAAATCCTTCCAAAAGGCCCGGGAGCGAGCAATTGATGCCTTCAACAACAAATCGCTGAGCATCAAAGATCGAATAGTGGCTTGCAAGATACGTGTAGCTGCCAGAATTTTTGAATCTGGTCTCGAAGACCCGGAAACCGCAGTCACTACCTGCCTGTTGGCACTAGAAGAGCTGCATGGCTTACCAGCAATTCAAGATATGTTCAAAGTTTTTCTCAATGGAGGAATGAGATCTTGGCGAAATAAAGCAGAACGATTGGAGAACATAATGTCTGTGTTGTTCATCAACGATGCATTATTTCATTTCGCTGCCAAGTGTAGCAGTAAATATCCCAACGTATTTACCTGGCCGGGAATTGAGCTTGAGGATCGCGCGTTTCATCCAATTCTACACGTATATGTAATTGGGAAAAAGACAACCATTGGTGAAGAATTTGGCCAACAACTGAAGCGAATGGTTATTGACAAGAGAACATCTGTGGTTGCCTATGCCCGTGCCTATGCCCGTGCCGATGACAATGCCCATGCCGATGCCCGTGTCGATGCCCGTGTCCGTGTCCGTGCCCGTGGTGCTCAATATGCCAGTTACAAAACACGTTCCTTGGCCCGTCTCCGTGAGTATGTCGATATTGCTCCTGATGCCTTTGCCGATGCCTATGTTAATTCCTATGGCCGTGGCTGGTATTTTGCTGTAAATAGCCGTGGTGAAATTATTCTACTGTTTGATGAGAAGATCGCCGTTATTTACTGGTCAGGTGAAAGCAAGGATGTTATATTTTCCGATCTCTCGGAAACTAAAGTGGTTGCGCAAGAGCGAAGAGCAGTTGCTGTTGATAGCGATGACAATGTTTATGTTTTGAGATATCTTAAGACACGTGATGAAAATGGCATCAAGGGAACTTTTGTGCTTTGCGTTTTGGATGGGAATTACAACATCAAACATGACAATACATTATTGGATTTTCTTAATGCCGGAGAATATAAAGGTATGCGAATTTCTATAGACAAAAATAAAAACACAATCTTCATCAAACAGGAGGATACCCAAGTGTTTGTCTGTGATAACAGAGGAAAGCTTAAGTTTAAGTTGAAACGAAATAGATACAGCATAACCAACATTGGTATTACTAATAAAAATGAAATTATGATACCAAGTTATGATGGAGCTGTGCACGTATATACAACGGAAGGGAACTTAAAATCCAAAATAAAAGTGCCAGAAGGTCATGATGTCCTGCAGGTGGCATTTCATCATGACCTTTGTAAAATAGTTATTTTAACCTTTTGGAGGGATCGACAATCCCGGTTCCTACTTTGCTACTCTGAAACAGGCGAGCTGGAGCATTCAGTGCGTGATATATCTCGGTTGAGTGAGATTGCAAGTCACCACAGCGGAAAATTTGCGATATTCCAGGACAAAAGCATCACCTTGATTTAAAAAACAACATCACGGAGAGAAGTTAGAGAACGTACTGAAAACTGTCCTTAGAATAAATGAAGATGAAAATTCATTAACTTGGATTTACATAAATAAGACATTTAAAAGTATTTGACAATTTATCTTATTAGAGACCAATTATATAGTCAATGTTGGAAAAATAAGTATAGAAGCATATCGACATATAAACAGTACTGTATACTCCAGTTTATTTTTAGTTGAAGTTAACTTGCATGCCTGATATATAGGTGTTTACATAGGAGTTTGCAATAAGATTTGGTTCAATGATTGATACAAAAAGAAGTGAATGGATTTTCCATTTCCTACCAGTTTTGTTTGTGTCAATCGAAACATTCTTGACTTTTAAAAACACGCAAACAACCAGCACAAGGAAGCCACGAAACAATCGGATAATTTGGAAAAGAGCATAATTTACATCAGAGTCAGGGCATGAATGATCGATAATTTTATCGTAAGCTTTTTACAGGTATGACAATACCTTTTAGGGTGTTATTTATAATCTCTATGAGTCCTTCCGTGTTGAAATCTCGAAAGAACAGGACATCGGTGGATAGCTGAGGTCTTTATCTTTCTTTCAATACCAAATTGTCCCATATGACCCCAGAGATCACTCCGAATTTACGGTTGAACACGACGTGTTCACGGCGGAACCTGGTGCCACATGATTTAATGGCGTCGCGACTCACAAATATTCGACAAATTCGATGGCATATTACTCTCGCGTTACAAAATGTAAGAACTTCAAGATTTTGTAGTTGTTTAGATCTATCCTTCTTTCACAAACACAAAAAATTCAAAAATAAAATATTCTTTACTTGCGAAGTTATCATGCGTTAAACATGGGCTATTTTACATGCGAAATTAGCAAATTCCAATAACAGGCTCCCGAACGCGCGCGGTCCACTCCCTTATGCTGCTGAAGGACAACTTTAAACACTCGACAGTTATTTTAATAAATCACGACTTATTTATATCTATTCTTGCAATGAAAGACAAATCCATCAATAATTTGGTAGCGAAATATTGCTTTGATGTATTGACTAACTTTGGACAACTATAAAATAATTCAGTATTTTATATATCCTGTTTAGTTATAATAGTCAACGATTTTGTGATTTAATCTTTTTATACAATGTTATGTATTCATTAAATATGTACCAGTATTGGTATTTTGTTATGAATAAAGTTATTATATTACAATGCGCTACAGCATTGATACGTATATAGCTAACGCTTGTTGAACAGATCGATTATGAACTCAGCAAGTGTACATGTTTGCTGGTGCGGGCACTCAATGTTTTTTTGTCGGATTACTGGGTGTTTTTTCTTTATAGTTAACACTTATACTAGTGCCGCGCTCTTCACCTTTATAGTTCGAAGCTTCCGCCAAGCCGAACGCGTAATATGAAGAATTTCGGTTAAATATTCAGTTGGGCATTGCCAATCACTGACACGCGTTTTGCTAAAACAGAAATTATTTAGAAAAATAGGTACGCTAGGCGTACATGTATCTGCGCAAAGGAATTCCATGGTTGCTATGAAAAAATTTCATTCACAATTATTAGTAAACATTTATATTTCGAAGTGACTATACAGCCTGGTATTTAGTAGACTGCTGGCTATATAGTGACCAAGAAAAAAAGTTAAGTCAGACAAAACAAAACCCGACCTGCGTTTCACTTTCCACATGCAGCGCCTATACCGTATACGCTAATGGCAAGCTTGGTAAAGCTAGCGCAAACAAACGTTTTTTATATTTAACTATAGTCAGTATATAGCCGGCAGTTTACTAAATAGCCGGCTGCCGGCTGTATAGACACTTTGTTTATATTTGATGATATAACAAAGAATGTTCAGATTGCAGTCTCTTCTTTACTGCAATCAACTATCAGAAAGCCACCATTGTTTATAATAAAAACTGAATAAGAGTTATGTATGAAATGGGTACAAAATTGCCGAGGTAAATACTGTACCCACATTTATAAATGTCATAGCCAGAGCAAAATATAAAATACTCGTCACTCTGTAGAAAGCCGCCATCTTTGTTTTACGGCCTGTTCGCAGGCGTACAGCCCTAATTAGTCGACCTGAGTGTTTAACGCACGAACACACACACACACCCACAACTCGATAGCATAGTATCTAGCGCTCCGCGCAGATACATAAAGCAGTACTGTTTGAGCGAAAACTGGAAATTTAGAGCATTTTTCGACCCACGACTTTTGCGCACGACGCACGACTTTTTACCCACGACGCACGACTTTTTACACATGTAAACTACGCGGACTTGACGAAAAATAGTTACTTAAAGGCTGATTTCCACTGTTGCGTTTTTCATACGTATACGCACGTAAAACTTTAAATCCGTTTAAATGTTACTTATGAAATAACCAAATAAATAAAGCTACAGAATTTAGTGTTTCGCAATTTTTAGTATGCATTTGTTAACTTATTTGTAAAATATTTAAAAAATAGAAGGATTCAAAGTTTTACGTGCGTGTACGTGCGTACGAAAAACGAAGAGGAAATACCAACAGAGAGTGTTAGATGTTGAAATGGGATCTTTTACACCCCTTGTTTTCGGAACTAATGGTGGAATGGGGATTGAATGTCAAATGTTTCTTAAACAGCTGGCGCAGAAACTGGCAGAAAAAGATAACGAACGATATGCAGTTGCCATAGCGTGGTTGAGAACCAGAATTTCTTTCGAAATTCTTTGATCAGTCCATGTGAGTGTCAGAGGGTCTAGATTACCTTTCTATAGAAAAGAACTTGAAGTTGTGGGCAAGCAACAATAGAATGAAACTCAACTTTAAAAAAACCTGGGAAATGTTACTATGTACTCGTTCACCTGCCATACCTCCCCCCCCCCCCTTATTAATGGAATACGACGTGAAAAATGGTTAAAACTACTTGGTGTCACCTTTCAAGAAAACCCACGTTGTTGGGACAAGCAGGTAGATAGCTTGTTGTCAAAGGCAGGAAGTCGAATTTACATCCTGAGAGTTTGTAAATTCTACGGATATTCACTAAATGAACTAATTAAATTGTTCGATTCATTGATCCTGTCGTTATTTTACTATGCAATTGAAGTATGGGGATCGGCTTTGCAAGCGAAATACATTGATAAATTCAACAAGTTTCTCAATCGTGCATTCCGATATGGATACACTCAGAATAAATATTCAATGGCCAAGATGATTGAGGAGAGGGATCGATTATTGTTCAATAAGGTCGTGCACAATCCTGAACATTGCCTATATGAGTTGTTACCGGAAGAACGTCGACGACCTTTAAGAGAACGCGATCATCAATTTATGTTACCAAAAGTTTACACAGAACGTTTTAAACAATCATTTTTGAACAAGTGTCTTTTTAATGACTTTTAGTTTTAAAATTTTGTTATATACGATATATAATATTAACTATAATGCATGTAAATAATTTAATTTAGAAATAATACTAAATTTGTAAATAATCTAATTAACATTTCTCATATGCACTGAACGTTTTAATAATTACTATATATATATTTATATATATCTTATATGCACTGTAAAGATGCACGTTTGTTGCAACTTCAATTTTTAATAAAGACGTATAATAATAATAATAATAATTTTGGACTAAACGCAAAGGCCGCTGACGTTTTTAAATTTTTTTTTTTTAATTTTAACGTTGTATTAATAGGAATTTTTTAAACTGCCTTCGAACGATTTTATTACCTGAAAGACCGAGGAACTTTATTAAGTGTGTTTTTCTAAGTAGGCGTCTTTAGTAATCTGGTACGTTTTGCGCTTTTTGGAACAATAATTTTAGATTTTCCTATTGTAAATTAACTGTAATAACTAATAAATCTTTCCGGTATTAAGTGGAAATCTAAGGCTGATTTCCAGTCAAGCGTTTTGCATCCGTTTTTTTACGTACGTGCACTTTTTACGTACGTATGGGGAACGGATGAGTTGAACCAGGGTTGAACCAGGGCGTAGTTGAACCTGGTTCAACTCATCCGTTTCCGCGTGCGTAGCACCATGGATTGTAAAATAACTTATTATTTATTCAGTATTATCCATGATAGCACCCGTACGTAAACGTAAATGCACGTACGTAAAAAAAACGGATGGAAAATGCTTGACTGGAAATCAGCCTTTATGTATACTTTTGAATTTGTTACCAATTTAAATCTGTTTTTCACCAGTATCCGTCTCTATGAATTTGGTGGGTGTTATACTGTTATATTAAACGTCCTGCTTTGACTTTTGACTACAAAAGGTTTTGATTCTGAAGTGAGGAATCAAGGGCTTTTCAGCATGCAAATGGTATGGGAAACGACAAAACGCGGACCCCAGGTCCGTGGACTATCTTCGTGGACCACTCTCGTGGACCACTCTCATGGACCACTTGCGAGACACCAGATTTTTGGGGTTTGAATTCTTGACTGTGCATGCAAAAATGTGCTCGAGTCGAGTTCAGTCATTATTATCATTGTGGAAACTTTACACAAAATGTGAAGTTCTAAATCCATTCACCAACCTCGTTCCCAGGGCTTCAGTGTGGGACGAGGCGAGCCTCGTCCCACACTGAAGCCCTGGGAACGAGGTTGTCCATTCACTACATGACCGTTCTAAAATATAAGTGTGCAATTACGACTTTAATGCAAAGTTTCCGAATATATGCCCTTAAAATTGGTAGTTTTTTTCTCTATCGCTACAGGAAATGCAAGAAAAGCAGCTTCAAAAATTAATATTTTTGGGAGAGGACCTTCAGGCATTGAAAGGTCATTGCAACTTACGACTTCTACAGTTCAAGTGATTTTTTAACAGTAAAATTCGAATAATTCAGTAAAATCCTTTGACCGCCACCCTCCCCCCCTCCCCCCCTCCCCTCGAGATTCTCCACAGTATTCCTATATTTTTTAATGGAACCCTGACTACATTTTTTCAGCATTTTTACAGACTTAGTATTCACTGTTCATCAACAAAAACTGAATTGATTGTGAAATAAATAATGGAAATGAATAATGAAATAGTTCCCGCCAATCTCGGCTCCCTAAACTCGGAATAATAGTGCTTGGTCTATTGTTCGGTAGGCGAAATTTCGCAATGGTCACGAGAGTGGTCCACGGGAGTGGTCAGGGGCGGCGCTACACAGCTAATCGGCAAATTGTTATCTCAGTCGGCAAAACTGGATTGGCTAAAGATAACCGCTGAAGAAACCAAAATTGACCTCCTGAATAATTGAATTCAAACCGAATATCACGAATAGCATGCATCAAAGAAACCTGCACACATGCAGCAATGCATATTTTTTCGAATACAGTATCTTCACTTCTGGCAGCTAGTCCAAAAACATAATATTATTGAAATCATAATTAGGTAATTAAATTTGTTTGGTGGTGGTGGTGGTGGTTGTTGTTGTTGTTGTTGTTGTTGTTGTTGTTGTTGTTGTTGTTGTTGTTGTTGTTGTTGTTGTTGTTGTTATTGTTGTTGTTGTTGTTGTTGTTGTTGTTGTTGTTGTTGTTGTTGTTGTTGTTGTTGTTGTTGTTGTTGTTGTTGTTGTTGCTTATTATACTGTTCTATAAAAGAGGCAATAAAGTCGCCGGTTTTCCACTAGCGAATTTTCTCGCACAAAGCGACCTTTTTCCTTTGTCGGTATCACCTATTACGTCAGCAAGACGTGGCAAAATCAGTCCTAGCTCGAAAACGAGGTCATCATTCGGCAATGCCGGGCTAAATGCAAATTTTTGCCGACCTTAATTCAACCAAAGTAAGATTTTTTTATGCTGATAGCTTTTAAAATGTCAGCGATTATAGAATTCGATTCGTAGTTCGATTAACTGAATACACTACGGTGTAAGGTTTAAAAACTGACGGGTATTGTGTATATATGTTAGATGTTTGAAGATCAAATTTCGCCCGTCTGGAGTTAAAATTTGGCTCCAACTTTCGAATTTTCCGGCTGGAGGTAACGTTCCAGTTATATTCCGATTTCAATGATTCGTAAATGCGTGATTAATAGTGCTCCAAGACGTGGAACAGATTTTACGAAATGCCGAGATGTACCGACCTAGGTCAGATTTAGGTCGGCACTCTTTTGCCGACCTCAATTTTGACGGCCGTTTTGACTTTTCGAGAGCTGCAAAATGGATGCCGACAAAGGAAAAAGGTCGCTTCGCGCAGAAAAATTTGCTAGTGGAAAACCGACTTAATAGAGGGTAATAAAGCGCATTTAAACATGCAGATATACTATAGATGGCCCTGAAGGGGTAAAATGGGAACTGGGATTGATCTATTTTTAGACTGGGAAAATGCCGGATTTGGGTTGCTGGGACTGGGATTTGGCCGCTGGGAATGGGAAATGAAGTTCTCAAAAATGGGAATGGGATTGAAGTAATGTGAGTCGATTCCCAATTTTGATCCGTTTTTGGTGTCTTTAGTCATGATTTTTGTTGTTAACTATATTATTCACAGCATTACCTGCGAACAGGCATACTCTGGCGCCCGGAATTTTGGGTTTTCTGATTATGCGTGTGTCAGAATGATGCAAATGCCATTTCCGGGATTCAAATTTAAAAATTTTCCGTGTCTTCGGCACGAGCCCCCCCCCCCAATATTTCATAAAGTGTCCGCCACTTACACACACGGTGGCTTAAAAGGTCTTAAAACTGTTTATTCTACCGATAAATAAAGGGAGTGGTCCGTGGTCCACGAGTGTAGTCCATGGACCAGGTCCACGAAGGTAGTCCGTGGACCTGGGGTCCGCGTTTTGTCGTTTCCCAAATTTTATAGATTTAAATTTTGTTTACTTTTTGATTTTTTGACTTTTGTTAGATAGGTTGTCAGATGACTGCACTGGAATCGAAGGGCCGCATGTTTAAAATTGCATTTTTCGCTTCTGTTCCTGGTTAGGTCTAATAAAAATATGTATATAAATTTCCACTCGACAATTTCCATATACAATACCCATCAAATACGTTTCTACGAATACTGCGTCTTCTGAACGCGAAATATGACGACCAAAGGACAAACATACTGATCATATATCAAACCATCAGAATGTGTGACATTTTAATTATAATTGATAGTTAATTAACACAGGCAGCACAGCGGAGCCGAATCAAGTAAGGTTAATTCTTGGTTCCCCGAAGTGTTGAGCTGATATACAGATACGTCGGATAAAGATTTAGATAGTTGACCATGGCATCTTATAATAAGAACAGTGAGACATTTGAAGTTACTTCCATGGCACAAGACAAGGTAAACATAAAACCATAATAAAACGTTCATTAAATTATTTGTAATCCGCTCTGCTATCAGTATCAAACTGTTAAGGTATAAGTACGTGATATTAAAATAGGTGAATAAAGGTGTTTATTAACACCTGAATAGTAGTCCTAGATCATTATTTAAATACACCGAATTTGTCAGGTCAATCCCCCAGTATGGTCAATGGCATTTTCAATACTATGATAATCAACTGTCAAGTAAGGACTTAATTCCCTTTGAATTAATGCTTTGATAGTTATCTGGTATTATACTAATTTTGTACACCCATTAGACTTGACCAAATGAACTGACAAAGATCCTGTCGTAAATTTGTCCTTTTGATAATTACATCAAATATAATCCAGCTCTTGTGGCCTGTGCCAAGGACAAGGTCAAGGAGAGATAAAGTCATGTTTGTGTTTACCATGTAAAGTGGGTGCAATATTATGCATTTGTGCTGAACATTTTGAAACATTGTTCGCTATAATTCGGCAGAGTTTTATAAAACAAAATATAATTTGCCCAGCACGGCAATTACACTCTCATTAGTTGGAAATCATATATATATATATATATATATATATATGATTTGGTGTGGATGCGTATCAAGCCTATACTCAGAAAAATTCTGAGCCCTAACGGGAATTGAACCACGTAACCTTCTCATTACCGGACAGACGCTCTAACCATTGAGCTATAAGGCATCAGATGGTGAACCAAGGTTACGTTATTTACTAGTTCTGTGTGTTACATGTGTACTGCTAACTGCAAGTCTCGACATGTCTTGTTGATGTTATTATTAAGAACCATGGGCGTACCGGAAGGAAAAAATTAGGGGGGCGGAAAGAAAATTGCCCGACTTTTCAGGATTTTGCCTGACTAGTACCAAAAAATTTTTTCCGGAAAAATTATTTTGGCGACCTCCCCCCCCCCGTCGCCAAAAAAATTTCGGTCAGTGTACCATTTTAGGGGTCAAAAAAATTTTCCGGACAACCAATATTTTTCGGAACATAACACAAATTTTCGAAAAATCACAAAATTTGCCAAAAAAATTGACTTAATTTTAGACAAAATTGACAGAATTTGTCCCATTTTTTTTTATTGCAAACCAAAATTGCCCGACTGTTGATCGAATATTGCCCGACTGCCCAAAAAACTTGGCTCACCATCTGATGCCTTATAGCTCAATGGTTAGAGCGTCTGTCCGGTAATCAGAAGGTTACGTATATATATATATATATATATATATATATATATATATATATATATATATATATATATATATATATATATATATATATATATATATATATATATATATATATATGTACGGCCGTGTTGTATCAGATATACAAACTCGAGCCGAAGGCGAGAGTTTGTATATCTGATAAAACACGGACGCGAATGTTGTAAACAACTTAAAAAACGACTCATCTTATGAGTTCACTGGCGAAGTAATTTTAAAAATAAACGTTGTCTAAGCCGAGAAAATCAAAGTTAAAGTTTATGTAAATCAACATGAATCTGTATCACATATACAGATACGACACGCTTATGATTTTTCTTTGTGTTTTCTTCATGAATTATTAATGAGTTTTTTAATATTTTAAACAGTCAAAACTCAAAACATAGCAGGCAATATATTTGTCAATGACAATGAACAATGTCACAAGAAACTAATGTTCTCCGGAGATATTGAATTAAATCCTGGTCCTGTATTTCTGTATTAAACTCTGTTCGATGTTATCAGTCAAAATACTTATACATTTTGGTTTTTACACATTAGAGTTTATAATAATTATTAATTAAATTAAACAAATTACAAACAGTTTCAAATGCTAATAAAAGAATCCCCACTCTATTTTGCTTTCTAACATATTAAATGTTTTTGTTTAGAGATTAATGCAAGAATGGTGAATAAATGTACTGGATATGGGCTAGATAATTTTGTCAGAACAACCCACTT